GGGCCTTCCACGCAGAGGGGCTCCAGGAGGCCGTCAGAGGAGCTCCCCCGAGCGGCGCTTGTCCAAGCAGGCAGGCAGGCGGCGGTGGCGCGCCGGAGGCGACCCCGATACTCTTTCAGGAGGTCCCTGTACTGGTCCCTCGTTGCATCGAAGACGTCGCGGCTCACAGCGCGCGTGACCATGCACAGGATCGGCACGTCGCGCTCCAGATTCTCCACGATGGGCGGCAGGAGCTTCAGGTCCCCCTTGAGCGAGCCCCTCGCCTTGTCTACAGGGCCGAGGCATATCACGAGCACGGACGCGATGCTGAGGGCCAAAGACGATTCAAGCTGCTTCGACTGCTTGATGCCAGGCACGTCGATAAGCTCCACGTCCATTGGTGCACGAAACGGCTTCGTGGCGCGTAAAGCCTCCAAGCTGCTCAGGTCGGACTTCCCTTGGCTCATGATCTCGCACTGCTCCTTCAACACCTCCTGAACCTTGCAGTGCCTGGGGAGTGCCTTGGAGCCCATTTGCAGCCGCTCCTGGGCACCGTGAGACACAATGCAGATCATCTGCGTTCCCATGCCGTCCGCGACGTGCATGAAGGGCTCCCCCCGCCCGTCCGACACGAGGTGATTGATTGCTGTGGACTTGCCGATGCTCTCAGGGCCCACCAGTGCTGCGCGGGCTGGCTTCTTCGTCACCAGCTGCGAGATATCGTGGACCTTGATTGCAAGCGCAGCGCTGCCGACACGCATCTTGAGCATGGTCTGGTCCTCTATGGATATGCCCATTTTCTCTGTCATGAACTTCGGCGGCATCTGATCGAGGATGTCGTAGATGGGCTCCAGGACGCCCAGCATGCGCTTGATGTCCTGCTCGAGGTCACTTGCGGGCTCGCCGGTGGGTGCAAGGGACGTGCCCTGTGGGGAAGGGCGCCGCATGTACGTCGGCAAATCCGTGTTGGTGAGAGGCTCGAAGGCACCGATGTCCTGGCTGTCGCGCGCGTTCTCCTCTACAGCAGCCACCGCCTCTCGCATCTTGTCAAAAATCCACGAGCAGTCCAAGAAGTCGGCGGTCACGTCCGGAATCCTTGACAGCCTGGCGCCATCCGTAAGCTGAAACAGCGCCTTGCCGATACGCCTCGGAAACTTGAACTTGGTGTACTTGGTGCTGTCGCGGATGAGGTGGGGGCCGATGAGGGTGCGACTGAAGAATTCGATGAACTCGCGGTCCTGGATCGTGCTCAGCTGGAAGTGGTTCACGATGTTAGAGGAAGAAACAACGGCATAAACATAAACTGGTCGAGGTCCGCGCAGGTTTCTTGGATCTGCGCTGAACTCCTCCCTGCGCGCGGAGCGTGCCAGGAGGGTCCAGCGCAGATCCAAGAAATTCGCGAAGAGCTCCGAAAGTTATGTTTATGCTGTATTTTTCTCCCTCGAGATGTCCAAGATTTTCTGCATCATCGTCGGGTCCTTCATCTGCACCTCGAGCAGCAGCTTCACGTGCTCGAGGCCGCTCTGAAGGCGGTCCCCAACGCTCCTCCTCGCCCTGTCCATGGCAGCTTCCTCGACGGCCTGCGGCTTGACAGCATTGCAGCCCATTCAGTGTCTATGTAGAGGCCTCCCAGATGGCGTCGGAGTACAGTAGGGGTTCGACCAGAAGTAACCTTCCACGAGAAACCTAATCCTGAGACCCCAGGACGCCCCTTGATTTTTGGCGTGGGAGCGTCACACATCAAAACCATCGAAACTCAAGAACCCCAGGGCACCCTGGAGGCAAGCAGGGTGTTTCTTGGCATGGGTCTCCACTGTAGATGGGCTTCGGAGGATCCTGCCGCACATCGCCGATGCATTACCAATACATCAGCGATGCACTGTCGATGTCGGCGATGCATCGGCGACGTCGGCGTGGAGAAAATCGGGCTCCACATCGAGCCGCATCGCCAATGCATCAGCAATGCATCGGCGATGCGGAGCTATACTCCGACCCTATCTGCTCGGACCCCATCGGGGAGGCCTAGAGACTATAATTAGCAAGGGCGGTGGGTAAAAAGTCAATCGCGAAAAGAGGCTTGAATAGCTCGAGCAAGAAGCAGCGCAGGGCGATGACCACAGCGGTGACGTTATGAGAATGGTTGCGCGGATAGCCCCTGGATCCTCCACCCGCTTGTGGGCACTCGGGAAATCAACGTACCGCATACAAAGTGCCCACTCCCGGGACGAAGTGGTTATCCAAACTTCGAAGAGGCCAAGCAGAAGGAGGGAATGCCTGGACGCGGTGCCCGCGAGGTCAAGGGAACAGGCTGCTCGCCGAAGCCCTCGAGGAGACCGGCACGCGAGGCCGTCGCCTCCCCGCAAATCCCTCCCCGAGGGGCAGGATGCTTCGGCCTGGGGAGGGGGGCTCCCGCCAGGGCCCAGCAGCGGCGTCAGAAGATGACAGCGCGGTCGGGTCCAGCCCAGTGATGCTGCGCGCGCAGGTCAGTGCCAGTCAGCGCAGGTCAGCGCAGAGCGCAGGTCAGCGCCGGTCACGCGGTCCCTCGAAGGCGCAGGTCAGCGCAGCTCAGCGCGCGGGTCCAGACGTTGAGAGCGCGAGAATCTAAGAATCCATGGGAAATCCACGATTTCGGCCTCTTGGAGCCCTCTAGGGTGTCCCCTCGGAGCCGTCCCAGGGCGTCCTGGTGCCCCATGGGGCCGTCTTGGGGGCATCTTGAGCCGTCTGAGGTCGGTCTTGAGCCATCTCAGGGTTGTCTTTGGTCGCCTCGGGGCCACCTTGGGCTGTCTCGGGGCTCTTCTGGGGAGCTCCGGTGCTGTTTCGGGGCCCTCCGGGGGGGCCCTCTGGTGCCGTTTCGGGGCTCTGTGGCGGCTCTGGGGACTGGGGGTTCCCCAAAAACACGCCAGCCTTCCTACGGATTGATTTGAATAGATGCATCGTATCCCTGCCATCCCTCTCATAACTCCCAGATATCCCTCCTATCCCTCATGCCCCCCTTATCTCTTAGCCATCCTACCCCGCATATGCAGCATATTCCTCTGGCCCCTCCTATCTGTTGTGCCCATCATATCCACCATGTCTCCTTTGCGAATGTAATAAACCGTTTCCATCATAACCCCTCCCATCCCTCCTATCCCGCATGGCCGCTTGATCCTTGATGCCTCATCCCTTAGATTCATACTAGCCCTGCTGGCCATCTTGCCCGCCCCTAAGCTCTGGATCCCCCCCTCTCCCGAGGCCTCGTGAGACTTCCCGGGGCTCGTGGCACAGCGCCCCGAGCTCTGTGGAGCAGCCGCTCCAGGGCCCGGGTACTGCTGCCGAGCTGGACTTGGGGGCTCGGCGAGTTGGATCTCGGGGTCTCTGTGGGACGCGCCCGGAGGTCCGAGAGGGATGGGGTGGCCCTGGCTAGGCTCCGCATGGCCGGATTCTGCCACCCATTGAGCTGCTTTCTCGCGCTTCGCGCGAGGGCGGCTAGGCGTCGTGCAGCCTGCTCGCCATCAACACCTACTAGCACCTGCGTGGGGTGGCGGGGGAGAGGAGGAGGAGGAGGAGGAGGAGGAGGGCGAGGAGGAGGAGGACGAGGAGGAGGACGAGGAGGACGAGGACGAGGAGGAGGACGAGGAGGACGAGGAGTGCGAGGGAGAGGAGGGGCCCCCAGCCAGGCCCCCCCCCCCTGCTGGAGCAGGCCCGGGGCCTCCGCCGGAGCGGGCGCGCGGCCTCCGCGGAGCAGGCCCGCGGCCTGCGTGGAGCGGGCCCCGGGGGCCTCCGCGGAAGGGGCCCGGGGGCCGCTGCGGGGGGGGGGGGGGGGGAGCCCAGGGTCGGGCCGGGCATGTCCCCTCGAAGAGATCCCCCCCCCAAAAAAAAACATCGCGAAAGTCGTCCCCGGACTATGGGCTGGGTCTCTTTGAATCTTCCCCCGCAGAGGGACACGCCCGACCTCAACCCCGGTGCCCCTGTGGAGCGGGCCCCTCCTCGGAGAGAGCGCCCGGGGCCTCTGTGGAAGGGGCCCACGGCCCTCGTGCCACGGGGCCCGGGCCCTGGGCGTGCGAGGAACGAGCCCGGGGCTCCCGTGGCACGGGCCCAGGGCCCTTGGGGACTGGACACGGGGCGCTCGCGGGACGGGCCCCCCCTCTTGGAGAGCGCCCGGTGCTCTCCTGGACTGAACTCAGGGCCTCTGTGGAGCGGGCCTGGGCTCAGGGCCACTGCGTAACGAGCCCGGGGAGCTGTGTGGAAGAGACCGAGAGCATCTGTGGAAGAACGAGCCACCTTTTGCGCAGCTGGCGTGAAGCCTTTGCGAAACCGGCCCAGGAACTTCGTACAACAGGCCCCTCCTGGTGAAATGGGCCCCCTGGGGCACCGAAAGGCACTCCAGGGCTCGAAGGGGATGAGGATGGGGATGGGGGCCGGATCAACGATACTGAGATAGGGGCACGGCGCATTGATCCCCACTGGCGCGGCTTTGGCCCAACTGGCCGGCTTACCCACATAGGCGGGGATATACGCACCAGGGCTTCGGGCCCGCGGGCCCCTCTCCCAGATGGGATCAGGCCTTGCGGGCCCCCACCTCACCCCAGATGGGACTGGGGGGGACGCCGACGACGTCGTCGACGACGACGACGACGACGACGACGACCGACGACCGACGACCGACGACCGACGACCGACGACCGACGACCGACGACCGACGACCGACGACCGACGACCGACGACCGACGACAGACGACAGACGACAGACGACCGACGACGACAACGACGACGACGACAACGACGACGACGAAGACGAGGACGACGACGACAACGACGAGGACGACGACGACGACGACGACGACGACGACGACGACGACGACGACGACGACGACGACGCTGGACCTTCGAGATTCGCGGGGCCTATCCCCACCTGGGAGGGTGGGCTGGCAGGACTGGGATGCCATGGCCCTGTGGGCATGGGGACGAGCCCGAGGATGCCGCGGCGAGGGCGCTCGCACGCCCCCATCGGGCGAGTCGTGCACGGTGCGGGCAGCGCCTCACTCCCGGAGGAAGGCGGGCGGGCACAGGAACGAGAAGACGTTCCCGATGCCCTTGCTGACCAGCCTCGAGGTGCGGAGCCGGGCTGGGGCGCCCGACTGGATGAGGTCCACGAGGTCCTCCAGGATCTGGACGTTGAAGCAGTAGTAGTTGTGCCGGACCGCGTGCACGTTCTGCTCCATGGAGGTGCAGTCGATCACGTCGATGTGCTCGGCGCCGTACTGCCGCTGGCCGTGGCTGCAGCTGACGGGCTCGGGGAAGCGCCCAAGCGTGGGCTCCCTGCTGAGTAGCGAGGAGCCCCAGAGGGCGACGTCGTGGGCGTCGCTGTAGAGCGTCACGCGCTCCGCGAACTCCACCATCTCGGGCAGCACCTCCAGCGCCCGCGCTCGGGATACGTCGGCGTTGACCAGCGTCAGGGTCCCGAGCACAGGCGAGCGCGCCCGGGGCGACGGCTGGTCGGCAGGTCCGGACCGCTCCCTCAGCTCGCAGCGGTCGGGGTCAAAGGCCCGCAGCCGCCGGAAGACGCGGGTGAGCTGCGGCCAAGCGGCCAGCAGCACCCGTGCGCCCATGCTGTGGATCATGAGGTGCACCCTCTCGATCCCCTGGGCGGCCAGCGCCTCCACGAACGGAGCCAGGTCCCGGGCGCACTCGGGCACGGCGGCCTTGACCTGGTAGTAGGACACGATCTGGCCCGCGGCCCAGCTGTACACGAAGGGGACGATGCCAGAAGAAGAAGAAGCGGCACGAGCACAGAAGCGCGGAGCGCCGCGCGGACTTCTTGGCCCTGCGCTGGCCCACCCCGCCCCGGCGCGAAGGAAAGCGCGCTGGGGGGGCGGCGCCAGAGGCGCCGCCGGCGGGGTCGAGAGCAGATCCGAGCACTCCGCGCGGAGCTCCGAGAGCTTTGTGTGGAAGCCTTGTGCCGGGTCTTCCCGCTTCGGGATGTGGGGCGGCAGGCCCCCCAGAGCGCACAGCTGCCCCAGGCGCGTGAGCCCGTCCCCCAGCGAGGCGTTGAAGCCGTGCACGAAAACCAGCGCCTCGCGCCGCGGCTCGCGCAGCAACTGGGGAGACCGGAAGGTACCAATGTCGCTACTCCACAGGCCTCTCCCGGGTGCGTTCTGACCGGAATGTCGAAGCGAATCCAGCGGTGGCGACGAGGGCCTCCCAGGAGGCCCAGAAAGGCGAAAACGAGGGAAGGGTAATTCACGTTTTTTCTGTAATAATGTTTTTAGTGCGAAAAATGGAGGGACAGTCAAACAAATGATTATTCCCAGCGCTGTAGTACGCAAGTAGTAAACAAAAGGACAGCAGACGAACCAGACCGCCGGGAACGTCCCCGCGACCGCCATCTTGAGGTCATCTTGGGCATATTGGGGCGCTTTGGGGCGGTCTTGGAGGCCTCTTGGACCGCTCTTCGAGCTGTCTTGGCGCCTTCCTGGGGCGTCTTCAGCACCCCGGCGCGATCCCAGCGCGCTCCTTGGGCCCTGGGGCCCCCATGGCGCGTCGAAGGGCCGCCCTGGAAGCCACCAGCCCTGTCCCCCGGTGTGTCTGCGTGTGTATATATATATATATACACACACAAACATACGTACATATATGTGTATGTATCAGTCGCATTCTTCCTGTCTCCGTGGATGCTTCCAGGGGGGTTCAGTTGAAAAAATGATTACTCCGGGCGAAGTAGTGGCAGTCGAGCTCTGGGGAAGGAGGGGAGGGGGGGAGGCCATCACTGTCTGAGCAAGTCTGGACATGAGTGGTATGGGTACCCGTTCCCCCTCGGAGCACCGCGACAGCCGCGGGCAGCTGCGAGGCCAGCGCGTAGCCGCGGCCCCGCGCCACGTGCACGGGCACCGAGGCCCGCCGGCAGCAGGGCTCCAGCAGGCGGCTGGACTCGGCCGCAGACGACGCAGCGGCACCGCCGCCCTCCCCGAGCGAGCTGCCCCAGGAGGCCTGCCGGCCCAGCACCTCCGGGCCCGCCGCCAGGTCGTCGACGACGTGCAGGGAGATGGAGGGCAGCGCGGCCCTCGCGCGCCCCTCCTGGACCCAGGCGAGCGCCTGCCCCACGCAGCCGAGGCCGCCGAAGTCCCGGAGGAGGTCCACGCGGGGCAGGTCGCTGAAGAAGCCGCCCGCCGTCGAGCACTCCACGCCGGCCCCGCCGATGCGCGGCTCCGGCAGCGAGCGGGGGAGCAGGGCCGTGGACCCGGTGCTCTGCTCGGCGCGGGCCGTGCAGAAGCCCAGGCGGAGGTTGGCGAACTGCGCGCCGGTGCCGTGCTCGCGCGAGGCAAAGGTCGACGGTCTTCAGAGCGCGCGTCGGCGCCAGCGTGGGCGTGCCCGCAGAAACACCCTTCAAAATACCACGCAGGCGGTGCAGCAGGGCCGACGCAGGCTGCGTGCCTTCGGCGAGGCCGGACGTGGGAAAGCACACGCTGGGCTCGGATTCGGTCGGGGAGGGCCTGAGCTGGAGGGGCCCCGAAGAGGTCGGTCAAGAAGGAAGGATCAGGGCACCTCCAGGGTCCATCTGGTGCAGCCTTTCTCCGCGGGTCTGCTCCTCACGGCCCACGGGCCAGAGAACTGCCCGAGGGGGCCCAGAAAAGGCCAGAGGCCGCCCCGCACCCAGCCCCTGTCGGGAGCGGCCAACAGGGGGGGGTCCAAGAGGGGGGGGTGCACACCATGACCAGCGGCACGTGGGCGGCCCAGCGGGGGTGCCAGGGACGTCATGGAAGAAGAAGAGGTGCCATGAGATCTGGGGAAACATCATGGCCCCCGCCATGGTATCCACCCCCCCCCTAGTCATCACCCCCCCTCTTTGCCGCCCCCGACCCTCGTACCTCGCCCCCCTCCCTTCCCGCTCGCCAGCATCGCTGCCGAGCCACCCCGGGCCCTCGGCTGGCTCCGCCGCGGGGCCGACGCGCGCGCCCGGGGGACCATCGAGAAGGGGCCCACGGGCACGCCGTGCTCCCAGAGGCCGGTCATGCACTCGCCGTGGTAGGACTCGTCCATCCTGGAAGGGGCCCTGGGACACACCAATAACTACACACACGAATGACAGGATTCCCCATATTTCCCCAGACGTTCTGGGTTTTTGTCTTCCCCCCCACTTCCCATGTTTTCCCATCTTTTCGGGGAATCGACGAACAATTGTGTCTGCGTGATTTTTGTTTCCTCCTGACATCCAGCTGCCCTGCCCGTGGGGGCGGCCGAGGGAGTCCACGCCGCCCTGGTAGGCGCACTCGCGCCGGAAGGGGGAGAACCAGCCGAAGGGCCGGTAGGAGAACCGGGCGTTTGCTTCCTGGGGGGGCGAGAGCCCCAGGCCCCCGACGTCACGAACTTGTCATGGCGTCGACCCCGCGATTACCAGCCTGGAACATATCCCAAATCCCTAGGCTGGGCATCGCCTCATCGCGATGCCAATCTTTAGGGATTCCCTTAGTTTTTCAGGGCGCATCCCCTAAGACTGTCATCGCCTTTTGGCGTCTCAATCTTAGGGATAGGGATAAGTTCGAGGCTGGTGATCCGAGGTCTCGACCAGGGCTGGGCCTGAACGCTGTTTTTCGTTAGGTCTTCGCTTCGGAAGCGTTCCTCGCTGGCTCATCCGCGAAAGCCCACAGCTGTGACCAGCCACTAAACGAAAAACAAAGCGCAGCCGAAACGGAAAAAAACATAGCCGAAATCCAGAAAAACAGCGTTTAGGTCCAGCCCTGGTCTCGACCCGAGGCCCGGTGAAGGCCCCCAGAGGCCGAAGATAGCGAAAAACTGTCCGTCGAGATTGTCTCGTGACTCGAGGGGGTCTGGGTCCGGGGGTCGACGTCATGCAAAAATCATGACGTCGGAAGGGCGACAGCTGAGGCGGGAGAAACGCGCGCCCTCCGAGGCCCTTTTTGGCCCCATGGGGGCCCCTTCAGGACCCCTTGTAGGGCACAAGAGGTGCACGTGTCTTGGCCCCTCTCATAGCGGGCCACATGAGAACCCTACCCCTACCCCCCACGATGTCTGAGGAGGAGGGTGGGGTTCACTCCGTTCGGGAGCTCCCGAGCGAAGTGAACCCCACCCTCCCCCTCAGAAATCGTGGGGGGTAGGGGCAGGGTTCGCATGTGGTCCCCCATCTCGTGCATCGCCCCCCCATGACGCAACGCCCGGAGAGAACACTCCGGGGAGGCCGCCAGGGTGCGCGCGCAACCTCCAGAAGGTGCGGGCGCCTGCACAAACCAGCACGCTGGTGTACCCGAACCGGACGACGAGCCAGGTGACCAAGATGAGCGCCTCTACCGCCACCAGCACGTGGAGCACCGCCTGCTCCTCGTACGTGAAGCACGTTTTCTGGAAGCCTCGCTTGGCGCTCCAAAGCCTGCACTCGTCGTGGTAGTTCGGGTCGTATACCCAGGCGAACCACATCACGCACACGTAAAGAACCGTTTTCGCCCACTCCATGAAAATCCGCCTCCGTGCCCTTTGCGCGTATGTGAGAGGTTGTTCGTCCTCGTCGTCGTCGTCGTTGCAGTGCTCTAGCTCTAGCGGCCTTGAGGGAAATCGACCCACGTCGTAACCACGTCAAAGGGAAGCCCCTTCCCTTTGATCCTTCCCCCGTCGGGGGGGGGGTCCAGGGGTGTGGGGGCGGGGTCAGATACGACTCCGCCCTGGGGGCCTCCTCCTCCTCCTCCTCCTCCTCCTCCTCATCCTCCTCCTCCTCCTCCTCCTCCTCCTCCTCCTCCAGTCCTCTAGTCCTCCTCCTCCTCCTCCTCCTCCTCCTCCTCCTTCTCCTCCTCCTCCTCCAGTCCTCCAGTCCTCCTTCTCCTCCTCCTCCTCCCTCCTCCTCCCTCCTCCTCCTCCTCCTCCTCCTCCTCCTCCTCCCCCCCCCTTGCTCCCCTCCTCTTGCTCCTCCTCTACCTCCTCATTCTGCTCCTCCTCACCCTCGTTTTAATATTCATTGTCTTCAGGGTCGGCAGCACCGGCCGTAAGGCCTTCGCAATCTGCTTCCGTGCTCTTTGCTCGAAGTGGAATCCCCCAAAGTTCACGCTGCTGCTTTAGCCAAGGTTCTCGATTATTACAGGCCTCGACAACCGGTTCCCCCGGCGTTCCCAAAATGTTTTGGGGTGTGTCGCCTGCATCCTCTGGGAGACAGGAAGGTCCCAAAACGGGCCTGGAGAAACCAAGAGGTCCGCGAAGACGGCAAAAAAAACACGAGTCGCCTCAAGATCGCCCCCAGATCTTCAAGATGGTTTGATTTTCCTGTCAACAAGAGAGGGATTTACCTCCCGCCCCCCCCCGGACTTAACGGTACCCCTTTTTCGGAATGCATTTGTTCATACAATTATGCCCCATCGTCTATCCTAAATCCAAACGCATACCATCCCAGGCACGTCCGTATCGTCCCCCCCTCATCCCTTGCAAAAACTAGTCTGCACGCGCAATCGTTTATCAAAAAATCATGCGTGTTCAAGAATACCGTGCACTGGGGAAAGAAACAACAACAAAAAATAAAAACAAAAACCACAACAACAACAACAACAACAACAACAACAAAACACAAAACCAAGTGCACACGAGCGCGTCGTCGCGCGCGCATGCCGAAAGAGCTTTGCAAGAAGTGAAAACCGAGCCACGGAAACATGTGAAACAAACGGTTTCGTAACAAGGGCGTTCAAAAAACTGCGCCCGCGCTCTTGCGAAATCTTGACAAAACAACACGTGTTTCAAAACATTCATACAATGTTACCGAACGGGCCTCTCGCGCGCGCATGTCGAATTCGCTCGAACGCTGCTGCGCGCCTGCTGTATCAAGAGCCCCTTGCAAAAAAAACATGCACGCGCGCGCCGTCGAGCGCGCATGCCGAAGTCCATCAAAAACCTCGGGCGTCGCAACGATTTCAAAAAAAAACGGATGTACCGAAAGCATACCAACAAACATGGTTTCGCAACATCAGGTGTCAAAAAGATCCTACGCTCGCGGTCTTGCAGGTTCTGGAGACACCATCGATTATTCAACATGTTCAAAAGACTATACCACACGGGCCTCCCGCGCAGCATGCCGAACACAATCGAACGCCCTTGCGAACGTGCTTGGAAAGTGGGGCACGATCGGGCGCGCGCTGGCCGCGCGCGCACGTCGAACTCATTGAGAAACCGCCGTCGCCGACGCGAGGACATCGTCATCGTGATCGGCGGGCGCGATCGACATCGGCGCGTCCGTCACTGGCCACGCCGTCGTTGACGCCACCATCGCAACCATCATCGCTACTCATAATCGCATCCACCGTCGCCGGCGTCGCCACGATACCGCACTGAAGTCCTCGCTGGGAAGTGCCCCGCGGGCACCGCCGCCGCGGCCGCGTCGGTCGCGCCAAACAAACTGGCCGCGGCGCGCGCGAGCACGCGCAGGCAGCGCGGCCGCAGAGACGCACCAGCCAACGCCAAGCACTCATCGCAGTCGCCGCCGCATGTGCACTGCAAATCAAGGCGCGGGCGGGCTCGGCGGGAATTGTGCAAGGGAATGGAATGCATCGACTCATTCTTGAAACCAAAGACAACCACTAAAGCCCCCAAGAAGCTCCCAAGGGCCCCCAAGAGCACCCCCAAAGTCAAAATCATTGAGTCCCCGAAGGTTTCCGACACGTCGACCCTCTCGCTGTCAACGCCCCACAGGCGGTCCAAGAAGCACCCAATAGCTCCGGGAACTGGCCAGGGCGCCCCGAGCAAGGCCCCAGGGCGCCCCAGAGCGGCGCAAGAGGCCCTTATGACGGCCCCAAGCGCGCCCAAGAAGGCCCCACGGGGGGCCCACGAGGGGGGCCACCAACGGACACCTCAAGCCCCCCCCCCAAAAAAAAAATGATAACCCCGAGAACCCCGTGCCCCCGAGCTCCCCCAAGACGCTCCAGGACGCCGCGAAGAAGCCCCCAGGGAGCCCCAAGAGGCCCTCTGGAGGCCCCCCAAAGCGCCCCACCAGACCCCCACACGCATCCAAGAGGCCTCTGAACCACAGCTCAAGCAAGGCAGCGAAGTGGGCCGAGGGCCACTAACAAGTTCCGCCGTCCCCCGTTGATTCATCAAAAGTGGCCTGGCGTGATGGGCGTCTGATGGTTTGGCTGTTCCTGGTTCTCTCAAATCCAGAACTACCCCTGGGGGTTCGGCCCAGCGCTCCGGCCACCCGGCGAGATCCTCGAAATCTAGGGGCAAGTACAATCCCCGCCGCGAGATGGTCCGAGATGGTCAAAGACGGCCAAGATGGCCAAAGACGGCCTCAAAGATGCCTCGAAGACGGCCCAGATGGCCCCAAGAAATCGCAAGATGCCCCCAAGACGCATCTAAGACGGCCCCAGGTGCACCCAAGATGCCCTCAGCATAGCCCAAGACGGCCCGCAAGGCCTGCAAGAGGCCCCCAAGGGGTCCTCCAGAAATGCCCGAAGGGGCCCAGATTACGAATTCCCCTGAGGCTCATGAAGATTTGGGCGCGCGTTTGCCCCCTGCCTCCCAACTGCCCAAGACGGTCTAAGAGCCCTCAGGCTCGCCCAAAAAATCACCCAAGAAGCCACACTGATGGCCCCACGACGGCCCCAGGCCCCCAAGACGGCCCCAAGGTCCTCAAGACGGGCCCAAGATGGCCTCCGAGATGGCCCCGACGCGCTCTGAGAGCGCAGTCAAGAAGCCCCCGCGAAGATCCCAGATGCCCCCAAGAGGCCCATGGATGCCCCTAGGACATTGATCTGGTGCGCGTCTGCATCGCATATCTGCGAATAGCAATGGCTCCTCCGAATCATTCGAGAAAGCGAACTGTCGTCGACATAGACGGCATGCAAGGTAATGGCACATCCCCACCTACCCCCAAGGATGGGAGGACAACGACTATACAGATACACCTTTCCTGCTTCGATGGAATTTGCCAACCTCATCGTGTTTCTCGCGCCGCGTGAATGCATGCGCGCGGCTGCGTACGTGCAGACGCGCATACGCGAGCTCGCATTCAATCGCCCACCAGGAATGAGCCGGATTCCGCGGACCCCAGCCGCCCCCGCCCCCGGCGGCGAAACGCAGTCCAGGTATCGGTGTATACCGTTTTCGGTGTATACCATGTTCGTGTTTTTAGTGGGTTGATGGTATACACCGATCTGGCGTGCACTTTTCGGTGTATACGTCTAGCCGTGTTTTGATGGGTTGATGGTATACACCCATGTTTTCTGCCAGACTGGCCTGGCTTCGTCGCACGGGGCAGGGCCGGCTGGGGCCTGCACAACCGGCTGACACCCCCTGGGAGGGCCTGCGCCGTCCTCAGCGGGTCAACGCCACTGCGGCTGCTAAGTACACTGCCACGACCACCATCCTGCGCTACTCAGATTTCAGGGCCCCCAGCGGACAGAAAAGGTGTATCTGTATACTTGTTGTGCTCCGAAAGGAATGGGAAAGGCCTGAAACGCGTCATCTTCGCGCGCAACATAGAATACGCAGCAAAGAATTGGAGCAGAGCCAACACGCACCCTTGGAACAAAATACCCGGATCCTTACCACGAGGGCCGCCTTGATCCCTGAGGCCGGTAGCTTCAGTTCCCGCAGTAGCCCCTGCAGGGCATGCACGGGCAAAAACTTGAGCATCGGCTACATGTTGCGCGGATTCCCCACGCGTGGGTCGTTGAGATCTTCGAGCCTCTGAGCTGAAACTGGCAGCAACTTGGACGCCGGCGCCATGCCCGCGCGAGCTGCGCGATCCCTGGCCGCGCGCAGACGGGCTCCACAACCGCACTCGGACCCGCCGGTCTGGTCTGCTGCACACACAGAACAGAAGCATACAAATCGTTGCCATCAACAAAGCACCGATTGATTGGATGTTGTGAACACTCCCGCTGGCAAAACAAACTGCGACCACGGGCCCGCCGCTGGCTCGATGAGCTTCGAAACTGGTTGTCAAGCCGGGCCGCGCACTGCGCCAGCCGCGGCAGCTGCTGCGAGGATCGGGCGGGCTATCCCTGCCGAAATGCCGATCGCCAAGATGCTCGAAAACATAGCCGCGCGCATTGAACGAAAGGACCCGACGCTAAACGAAGTGCCACCCACCTCAGCACTGGACAAAAAAAAAACTCGCGGGAATCGACGCGTGAGACGTCATCGCCGGCGCTGGAGTCTCCGAACACGGCATGGCATGCGCTGAGCTCGCGGGCGCCGGCCTGGAACTCGACACATTGCGCGCGACGTAATTCGCCCGAGGGGTCGGCCAGCATCCGCTCCCCGAACGCAAGCGCCCGGGGACCAGGCCCGAGCGCCCACGGATTCTCGCTGGACGCGCGATCCCGGCGGGGCGCGCCCGTCTTCTTGGCGAGGCCATCCGCGAGCCGCTGCTCGGATCGCACCCGCTCGACGCCTCCGCACAGGCACTCCAGCCCGACGATGGCGGCACAAAGACAGCCGTCGACTTGATGGATAGACGCGCGCCTTGACCACGCAGCCCCACAACTA